TCTTCTAATTGTTCCTTCTGTAACCAAAAACAACCATTTATAAACTAAAATATCTATGAAGTAATTTATTATAATATCTATATATTAATATATTTTATCATTGTTGCAGGTTGTAAAGATTTTTAACTGTGCCTACCTATATGCACTAAACCCTTTGTATGATAATTAAAATAACACAATACATTTAACTTTTTTACATTATAGACTATAAAAATAGGGAAGGTACTACTTATTAAATGTCCAATGTATTTGGTAGCAGACAGTTGGTAGACAAATACAACTATACAACCTAATCTTTAGAAATTTAAAAAAATATCTCATAAGTACAAACTGTTAAGATAAATATCCTAAAATAAAAATTCTTCATAAAATGTCCATTATGACACCTAGAGAAGATAGTCAAAATAGTGTTTCTGATCACTGCTAGATAATATCTATATCTATATGTATATGTATTTATATCAATATGATGATAGGATAAAAGCTATCTGCAAAAGAAAAATTGAACTTAATTATTATTCATACATTATATATTAAAACATTTTAAAGAAAAATTTGAAGTACATTGGTCATGGTCAGGGTCCATCTAAAGCTGGAGAATCACAAACCTCTGCATGTATTATTAATAAAATTAGTTTTTATTTATAAGTACCAAAGAATTTTTATAACTGTTAAAATCAGTTATTGCAATTTTACATATCAAAAAAAAAAATATTTATTCAAAGGTGTAAAGGTGTATGAGATATAATTAAAATGGGTATTTTGATTTGTTGTGTAAGATTTTTGTTTGTTCTACATTCCATTACAAAGACCTAAATTACTCAAAGGATCAATTTCATCTGTTTCTCGAATGCCCTATACCCAGTGTTGGGTAGTAACGTAACGCGCGTTACTCGTTACTGTAACGTAGTTACATTTTTCAGTAACGTTATGGTAACTTCGTTNGCGTCCACTGCCGTGCAGTCACAAAAATTGTGCGAGCGTTCCGCTCTCTATTTTATATATATATATATTTATCTGATTTTCTAAATTTTATACCGTGTGCGTAGCGCATATTAGTGTTTTATTGTTTTTTATAATATATGTGGTGCCTTTAATAAATATAATATTATACGAGGTAATATTACGGTGTTATATTTATTACATAACTTCAGGGTACTTAGGCAACCCATAGATCTATTTTTCTTTTTAATTCTGGTCAACTTCAAAAATGCTCTCTCAGCGGTACAATTAGCAACAGGAATGGTAAGATATATTTTTATAGCAATATGAATGTTTGGAAAATATTAATAACATAACATTCAGTCATCCATTAAAATATCTTGAGTACATCACTTCCATCAAATGTCGGTTTCAACTGATCCCAAAACTGCTTGAAATGTATTATTTCATACTATATTGAATCATCAACATCATCTTTATATACACTAATGAATTTGTTAACACTTTTCTCAATATCAATAGTAGACTCAACATGTAGTCTATTTAAGAATAAAACATTTTCAACCACTACACTATAAGCATTTATTCTTTTGTTCAGTTCTGAGCAAAATTTATCAACTATAACATGATGTGTTTCAACCCGAAATTTATCAATACCACTAAGTGCAGTTGATGTTTTATTGTTACCATCGGGAAATTTTTTTATAATTTTTCTTTTATTTTCATCTTTATATATGATACTTATTTGGGAGCAAAACTCTCCAACCCTAAGTTCATAGACCATGTTTGAATCCCTTAAATTTGAAACAACATTTTTTAAACTTGTCAACAAATTCACAGCTTTCAAAATATCATTGCTTTTGCTTTGTAAATCAATAGATTCTTTATTACAATGTTGTATTATGTCATTCCAAAATAGACACAAATAGGTGGTAAACACGGTCGACAGGCCCCATCGCATGTTAGTTCAAACAAGAAAAAAATTAAAAATAAAAATATTCTTGTAGGTACTATAAAAAGTGAAAATTATCACTTGATGTTTTTTTAAGCCGAGAAGACTAGGAGCCCTTTACACACGTGGGCCCCGGGTACACCCCCCCCCCCTTAATACGGGCTTGGTCATCATACTCTCTAATGAGCTAAATAAGTTTTCAAGTACGTCCTGGTTTACTCTTCTTGTTAATATATATTTGACGTCAGGATACCTCTTTTTTACGTCTTCAAACATTAGTTTAAGTGACGTATTGGTAATAATTATTCCTATATAGTTAAAAAATGTTATATATATTATATTTATATTAATGAAATTGTATATTATTTTGTACTATATCTTTTTGAAACAGTTTCAAAATTGTAGTTTCTTTACCTTCGTTGTGAACTCTCATATTTTCTATTAATATGTTCATTTCGGTTAATATTTTATTTTGGTTGTTTAGATCCAGTCCATAAGATAATACACATTTATCTTTAGATAATTGTGTATTAAATAAATCAAACCAATCATCAAAAAGTTTGATTAAATTTAACGCATAGATAGAATTAAAAATAAGGCATTTAAACAATTTTATAACATACTATTTGAAGGTAAAAAGAAACAACATTAATAATGAAACAAGTTGTAGTATACAATGATAGATATGAATTTCTAGGTCTTAAATATGAAATGTAATAAAATTATTTATTTTTTACTGTAGGTAGATAATTATTATTAATTTACTTCTTTCCAATAGGTGAATTGCAATAGGTACATTTTTTTGGCCAAAATATGAAATTGCTTTTGCCATTGAATTTGATAATACCTGGGCTGCTAATTTCACATTTTGTCTTTGTGATCCTACTACATTTAAGTGGAGATTATCTTAAATCTCCTTTGTTTAGACCAACAACTTCTTGAAGAATTTGTTTTCTAATATACGTTTGATTTGGTAAAACAAAACCACTATCCAATAAATGATTTCTAACGAGTTTTAAGAGATGAAGAACGTCAGCAAACATGTAAATTTGTTCTCCAGAAACAGGATGCTCAAATGAAGTTTTTGTTGGCGTGATTCCAAGACATTTCCAAAGTTTAATATTTGTAGGCCCCATGTCGCTAACAATGGCTACTACCTCAAAACCACAGTAATTTAGCTGAGTTATAACTTCAAATAACAACTCTTGAGTCATTGTTGAATCGTAATCATAATATAACGATTGCTTCCATTTAGCAAATAGGCCTTTAATGTTAAACAATTTACAGTACACATTTTTTATGTTTATTGAGTTATTATGATTATTAAATTAGGCAATCATGACCTGAACACACTTAAATGGACCCAAAACTTGTTCTACTTTTTTGTCATAACACAATTTGTGTGCTACATAAGTTTCATCAAATGAAATCACCGTAACTTTGTCCATTTTTGTTAGAGTTTTCCCTATATTTTTTAAAAGCATAAAGACATCTTTCAAATATGCCTTTGTCCATTATAAATTTACCTGCCCATTGTCTTAATGTAGACAAACCTACAATCATAAATGTATTAATAAATGGATTTCTTCCTTATAATTATATTTGATTGTTTTATATTTTTAATCATGTTATTGTTAATAAAAATAAATATTTATTCATTATAAATAGTTCTCATCAAGTATTCATCTTTAAAACTGTATCATTATTATATTTAAAAAATGAACATTTACGAATTTGGAATACCTGGTAATGGAAACTCCAATTTATTCCTAAGATATCTATATGCTTTTGGTGATATACTTCTTAGTGTAATAGCCGATGCGACATCTTCTGGTTCCCATTTTCCAACTTTCTTTTTTTTTATGAAGAATCATTGCGATTTGCTGTGGTGAAAACCTATTGGATAGGGTGCTTTTAAATTTATTTTCACACCTGCAGGTTCCTAAGTTAATCCAATTGTTTTGTTCAAAGACTAGTTTTTGTAATTCAGCATTTTTTCTTACAAGCTCTTCATTTTGTAATTTAATGATTTCTAACTCATTTTTTAATCTAAACATTATAAAATGAAATTGTTTTCCTCATACTCCACGCAATAATTACATTTATTAAATGTTGCCTATTTCTTAAGTATTTTAATACAATTATCTTTAATATTTTATTCTGCTCTTATAATTATTATAAGTAAGTAGGGGTTAAAAAAAAATTCAAATATTTTTTTTTCTGCAAAAATATCAAATGTTTATTAATACAGACATAATGAGGAAACAATTAACTAAATTAATAAATCAATATAAATAAAATAATAACTACAGCGGTCAAAAAAACAAAATAATTTAACACATAGGAACATTAAATATTAATTTAATACATGCAAATGAATTATCTGCTGTACGTTGACCTGTATGGTCGTTTGCGTTTTACGTCGGTCTCTTATCGTAGTTACCGTTTTATATCCATTTTTCCCGTGTATTTTGCAATTACGTCTATAATATAAAAATAAAATGTTGTTATGTGGAATTTGCAATGAAGAAATATTTGAAAATGACGATATTAAGTGTACAAAATGTAAAGTGTTTTACATTTTGGATGTGCTGGTCAAAGGGAAGCAAATTTTAGAAAAATGAGCCAAAAAGCTATAGAAAATTGGTCATGTCTAAAATGTAAAAATATCATTGCAGGAAATGAATTATCTATTGCTACTACTTCGCCTATAAAGAAAGATTGTTTTACTGGCTCGAATAAATTACTACAGGATTTAACTGACTCAGTTAAATTCATGAGTGACAAATTTGATGATTTCAGTAACCAAATACAAGATTTGGTAACAGCGGTTAAAGATTTAAAAGAGGAAAACAAAAAAATAAAAGAACAAAATCTGAAATTAGGAAACGAATTACATATAATAAATAAACGAATCAACATTTTAGAATAAGAACAACTTGGGAAACACGTTGAAATAATTGGTGTACCCATTCAAGAACATGAAAACTGTGGAAAAATAGTAGAATCTATTACATCAGCACTGGGCGTTCAATTAACTACAGTAAATGCATATCGTGTAAGATCCAAAACTGTGAACAATAAGTCTGGGAAAATAGTGGCGTAAATGAAGACAAAAGAAGATAAAGCAACTTTAATCGATTTAGTAAAAAAGAAAAGACTATCTGCGAAAAATGTAAATGACAAATGGGATAATAATGGTATTTATATCAATAATTATCTAACTCAATCGAACAGAAATCTTTTTTATAAAACTCGAATGTTAGCCAAAGAACACAGCTACAAGTTTGTATGGTTTAAAAACAATAAAATATTTATAAAAAAATCAGAGAACTCCAATACAATCTATATAGATGATGAAAGTATCCTAGATAAAATTAAAAGTTAATTGTTTAAAATAATCTAGAGTTAAAAATATAAAATAAAAAAATTAATTTTGTTACATTATGGACAGTATCAGCACAATAAATAGCTTTTTTGAATACAAAACAAATTATTTTGAATCATTTTCAGAGTTTAAAATTAAATATAATATTGTACAAGAATCTTTTATAAATATTTTGAGTTGTAATATTAGAAGTATAAATGCAAATGTAGATGAATTATTACTTTTACTTGAAAATGAAAAAAATATTTTTAAACCAGATATTATAGTATTAACTGAAACCTGGCATGATACAAATTCTTGTAATATATTTTTACCAGATTATGACATGTTTTTTTCAAAAAAAAAAATAAACCAAAATGATGGTGTAATAATTTTATATAAAAATAATTTATGTTTAGATTGTATTGAGTTTGATAAAACAGAGGCAAATATTGTAAAAATAACTTTAAATATTGTAAATAGTATTATAATTTTTTTCTGTATCTATAGATCACCGGCTATGGATAGCTATGACTTTTTGACCACTTTTTAAAATATATTATTAAATGAAAAAAATGTAAATAGTACGTCTACAGTAGTTCTGGGTGATATGAATATAAATATAGTGGGAACACATTCAGTAGATAATGATTACTTGGATATGTTATCTATGTGTGGTTTCAAATCTTTTATTAATGTATACACAAGGACTCCTTTAAACTCTAGGCATTCATGTTTAGATCATATTTTCGTAAAAAATAACAAGTTAGTAGGAAATATTGAAGCTGGTGTAATTCAAACAACTATTACTGATCATTACTCTATGATATTAGCAATTCCATTAGTAAAACAAAATAACTCTAAATCCCAATATAATATTAAATCAATTAATTTTGATAAAATAGTTAACAATTTGAAAACTGAACTATGGATAGATCTATACAATAGCAAGAATGTAAATAAATGTTGTGATATTTTTTATAACAAATTAAATAATAGTATATCCCTGGCAACGGAAGTTAAAAATATAAGTGCTAAGTACAAAAGAATAAAACAATGGATGACTGCAGGGCTACTGTGTTCAGCACGAAATAAACAGAAAATCGCAATGAAATTTAAAAAACATCCAAATAATACAAATTTACTAAAGTATTATATCAATTATAAAAATAATTTTACAAACATTTTAAGTCTCACTAAAATAAATTTTTTTAAAACAAAATTTAAAAATGTTGCATCAAGTCCAAAATTGACATGGAAATTAATTAAGGAAATTACAAACACTGAAGTAAACTCATTGAACGAAATAAAATCTATATTAATAGAAAACAAAGTCATAAATGCCGTAGATGAACCACACGCTGTTTCAAATTTTTTTAATAGCTTTTTTACTGAAATAGGGAAAAATACATTAGAGAATAACACAAATTTTAAAGATAACGAACTTAAAGATAATAAAAGTGATCTCTCATTTGTTGATATTTTTAGTACTAAAATTACAGAATCAGAAATCTCAAATATAATTAAAAATTTAAAAGATGAAACAGCTGCTGGAATTGATACAGTAACGGTAAAACTAATTAAGTACATTGAATCAATTATTATAGGACCACTAACTTATTTATATAACTTAAGTATTGAAAAATGTATTTTTCCTGATAATTTCAAAATTGCAGTAGTAACTCCTTTATACAAAGGTGGTGATCACAAATACGTAAATAATTATAGGCCGATATCAATGTTAAATAACTTTTCAAAAATTCTTGAAAAAATAATCAAAAATCGACTCATTAATTACTTAGAAAAATATAAACTACTGTCTAAAAATCAATATGGTTTTAGACCTGGCTTAGGGACAGTAAATGCACTTTATAACGCCACGAGTCACGTATATAATGCCCTTGATCATGGTAAAAAAACATTAGCTGTTTTCTTTGACCTAGCAAAGGCATTTGACATGGTTAATCATGAAGAACTAATAAAGACTCTACCTAGTTTTGGCATAAAAACAACTAGTTTAAATTGGTTTAGAAATTATCTAAAAGATAGGCAACAAATAGTTAAAATAAACAAAACATTGGGTCAAAAAAGGAAAATCATATGTGGAGTCCCACAAGGTAGTGTTCTTGGTCCTTTATTTTTTATTTTATATATTAACTGTATATGTAATATAAATATAGATGGTAAAGTTGTAACATATGCGGATGACACCTGTCTACTCTTCACAGATAGCTCGTGGCATTCTGTACAACTTAAAGCAATATCTGAGCTCAAAAAAGTAGTAAATCTTTTTAACTCAAAGAAATTATCTTTGAATATAAAAAAAACCTATTTTATGGCTTTCAGTATTTACAATTCGGTTATTCCTTTTCAGGAACTAACAGTACATTGNTAGTGTAGCTGGAGATATTTGTACGAAAAAAACGAGCTAGAATAACTGATCAAAATTTTGAAAATACATTATTGTATAAAATAAATATAAATAAAGGATTGATTTAAAAAAGACTTTTTTTTATGAAACGTAAATAACACAAGAGTAACGTCATTGTAACTAGTTACTTTTGAGTAAAAAATGTAACGTGACGCATTACTTTTGTATTCGAGTAACTATCAAGTAATCTAGTTACCTATTTTGTTTTGTAACTTGTAACGTAACTTAGTGACTTTTAAAAAGTAACTTACCCAACACTGCCTATACCTATGATTAAAAAATAAGTCCTAAAAAAAGAGATGTTCAAACAAATACAGGTATTATTTATGTATTGTAAGAGCGATGGCTTGTGTTAAAATAGGGATTTTAATGTGATCAGGGTAATATATTATATTAAATTAGCTAAGATTAGAAATGAACATGTCATAAATTAAATTAATTTGAGGACTAAGTAATTTAAAATGTATATTTTGTTTATAGAATGAAACACTACTAATATTTTATCAGTTTTGAGTAATTATTGGAAAATTGGTTGTAAATTATAATAAAGATTATGTAATTCAAACATTATAAACATAAGAGTCCTAAATATATTCACATAACATGGAGTGTAAGTTGTTTTACTTCAAACCCTTGTCACAACCTAACAGTAGTTGAAATGTCTGCCCTATTACTACCCTCTTGAACTTCATCTTACAGTGCAGAATGCTTGAGTCATTGTCAACGTTTCTCATGGGCGATATAGGGTCAATAGTCTTATGACAAAAGAAAAGCTAAATCTCCCAACTTTTAAGTTGAATAAAAATTAAATTTTAAAACAATTTCCCATCACTGAATACACAAATGTACTTGTAATAACTACATGCATAAAGAGTTTTTTTATTTACTTAAGAATTAAGATTCATAAGCGACTTTCTTTTTATATCTAAAATAAGAAAATTGAATACAAGACTTATGATAAGTTGTTATAATGGCAGTTAAATAATGTATCTGCTGTTTATCTGCTGTACGTTGACCTGTATGGTCGTTTGCGTTTTACGTCGGTCTCTTATCGTAGTTACCGTTTTATATCCATTTTTCCCGTGTATTTTGCAATTACGTCTATAATATAAAAATAAAATGTTGTTATGTGGAATTTGCAATGAAGAAATATTTGAAAATGACGATATTAAGTGTACAAAATGTAAAGTGTTTTTACATTTTGGATGTGCTGGTCAAAGGGAAGCAAATTTTAGAAAAATGAGCCAAAAAGCTATAGAAAATTGGTCATGTCTAAAATGTAAAAATATCATTGCAGGAAATGAATTATCTATTGCTACTACTTCGCCTATAAAGAAAGATTGTTTTACTGGCTCGAATAAATTACTACAGGATTTAACTGACTCAGTTAAATTCATGAGTGACAAATTTGATGATTTCAGTAACCAAATACAAGATTTGGTAACAGCGGTTAAAGATTTAAAAGAGGAAAACAAAAAAATAAAAGAACAAAATCAGAAATTAGGAAACGAATTACATATAATAAATAAACGAATCAACATATTAGAAAAAGAACAACTTGGGAAACACGTTGAAATAATTGGTGTACCCATTCAAGAACATGAAAACTGTGGAAAAATAGTAGAATCTATTACATCAGCACTGGGCGTTCAATTAACTACAGTAAATGCATATCGTGTAAGATCCAAAACTGTGAACAATAAGTCTGGGAAAATAGTGGCGGAAATGAAGACAAAAGAAGATAAAGCAACTTTAATCGATTTAGTAAAAAAGAAAAGACTATCTGCGAAAAATGTAAATGACAAATGGGATAATAATGGTATTTATATCAATAATTATCTAACTCAATCGAACAGAAATCTTTTTTATAAAACTCGAATGTTAGCCAAAGAACACAGCTACAAGTTTGTATGGTTTAAAAACAATAAAATATTTATAAAAAAATCAGAGAACTCCAATACAATCTATATAGATGATGAAAGTATCCTAGATAAAATTAAAAGTTAATTGTTTAAAATAATCTAGAGTTAAAAATATAAAATAAAAAAATAAATTTTGTTACATTATGGACAGTATCAGCACAATAAATAGCTTTTTTGAATACAAAACAAATTATTTTGAATCATTTTCAGAGTTTAAAATTAAATATAATATTGTACAAGAATCTTTTATAAATATTTTGAGTTGTAATATTAGAAGTATAAATGCAAATGTAGATGAATTATTACTTTTACTTGAAAATGAAAAAAATATTTTTAAACCAGATATTATAGTATTAACTGAAACCTGGCATGATACAAATTCTTGTAATATATTTTTACCAGATTATGACATGTTTTTTTCAAAAAAAAAAACAAACCAAAATGATGGTGTAATAATTTTATATAAAAATAATTTATGTTTAGATTGTATTGAGTTTGATAAAACAGAGGCAAATATTGTAAAAATAACTTTAAATATTGTAAATAGTATTATAATTTTTTTCTGTATCTATAGATCACCGGCTATGGATAGCTATGACTTTTTGACCACTTTTAAAAATATATTATTAAATGAAAAAAATGTAAATAGTACGTCTACAGTAGTTCTGGGTGATATGAATATAAATATAGTGGGAACACATTCAGTAGATAATGATTACTTGGATATGTTATCTATGTGTGGTTTCAAATCTTATATTAATGTATACACAAGGACTCCTTTAAACTCTAGGCATTCATGTTTAGATCATATTTTCGTAAAAAATAACAAGTTAGTAGGAAATATTGAAGCTGGTGTAATTCAAACAACTATTACTGATCATTACTCTACGATATTAGCAATTCCATTAGTAAAACAAAATAACTCTAAATCCCAATATAATATTAAATCAATTAATTTTGATAAAATAGTTAACAATTTGAAAACTGAACTATGGATAGATCTATACAATAGCAAGAATGTAAATAAATGTTGTGATATTTTTTATAACAAATTAAATAATAGTATATCCCTGGCAACGGAAGTTAAAAATATAAGTGCTAAGTACAAAAGAATAAAACAATGGATGACTGCAGGGCTACTGTGTTCAGCACGAAATAAACAGAAAATCGCAATGAAAGTTAAAAAACATCCAAATAATACAAATTTACTAAAGTATTATATCAATTATAAAAATAATTTTACAAACATTTTAAGACTCACTAAAATAAATTTTTTTAAAACAAAATTTAAAAATGTTGCATCAAGTCCAAAATTGACATGGAAATTAATTAAGGAAATTACAAACACTGAAGTAAACTCATTGAACGAAATAAAATCTATATTAATAGATAACAAAGTCATAAATGCCGTAGATGAACCACACGCTGTTTCAAATTTTTTTAATAGCTTTTTTACTGAAATAGGGAAAAATACATTAGAGAATAACACAAATTTTAAAGATAACGAACTTAAAGATAATAAAAGTGATCTCTCATTTGATGATATTTTTAGTACAAAAATTACAGAATCAGAAATCTCAAATATAATTAAAAATTTAAAAGATGAAACAGCTGCTGGAATTGATACAGTAACGGTAAAACTAATTAAGTACATTGAATCAATTATTATAGGACCACTAACTTATTTATATAACTTAAGTATTGAAAAATGTATTTTTCCTGATAATTTCAAAATTGCAGTAGTAACTCCTTTATACAAAGGTGGTGATCACAAATACGTAAATAATTATAGGCCGATATCAATGTTAAATAACTTTTCAAAAATTCTTGAAAAAATAATCAAAAATCGACTCATTAATTACTTAGAAAAATATAAACTACTGTCTAAAAATCAATATGGTTTTAGACCTGGCTTAGGGACAGTAAATGCACTTTACAACGCCACGAGTCACGTATATAATGCCCTTGATCATGGTAAAAAAACATTAGCTGTTTTCTTAGACCTAGCAAAGGCATTTGACATGGTTAATCACGAAGAACTAATAAAGACTCTACCTAGTTTTGGCATAAAAACAACTAGTTTAAATTGGTTTAGAAATTATCTAAAAGATAGGCAACAAATAGTTAAAATAAACAAAACATTGGGTCAAAAAAGGAAAATCATATGTGGAGTCCCACAAGGTAGTGTTCTTGGTCCTTTATTTTTTATTTTATATATTAACTGTATATGTAATATAAATATAGATGGTAAAGTTGTAACATATGCGGATGACACCTGTCTACTCTTCACAGATAGCTCGTGGCATTCTGTACAACTTAAAGCAATATCTGAGCTCAAAAAAGTAGTAAATCTTTTTAACTCAAAGAAATTATCTTTGAATATAAAAAAAACCTATTTTATGGCTTTCAGTATTTACAATTCGGTTATTCCTTTTCAGGAACTAACAGTACATTGTTGTAAAAATATCGCTGAATGTAATGATGATATGTGTAAAAAAATTTCAAGGGTCCAGTCTACCAGATATCTAGGTATAACATTTGACAGTAATTTAAAGTGGAATTTACATATAAATAATATAGTAATGAGGCTACGTTCTTCACTCCACAAATTTTATAAACTAAAAAATATCCTGCCTGTAAATATATTACGCAATATATATTTAGCTCTATATCAATCAGTGTTCCAATATGGATGTTTAGTGTGGGGTGGACTGTCCGAAATTTATTTAAAGCCATTACAACTTCAACAAAACAAAATAATAAGAATCTGTTTAGATAAAAAAACTATGGTAGGCTCAACAAATCAAAATTATAAAGAGTTTAAGGTTTTGCCTATTAGATCGGTTTACAAAAAAATTGTGATATTTTGGTTAGATACTAACAGAAAAACATGGTTCAATACAGAGTTATACAAAAATAAAAGACAACACAGGGCATTAGATGCATTAGTAAATTATGTAAAAACAACGTGTGGTCAAAAATTCATAGACTACCTTGGGCCTACTACATTCAATTCATTGGATTATGATATAAAACAGAAAT